TAGATGAAGTAGAGTTGGTCTTTTCTGGTAGACGTTGCGTTGAATTAATTTAGTCACGGAAATAATTCATAGTCTTCTTTGCCTTTTCTGGTGAGTATGAGGGGTTTTTACGATAACAAATTAGACAGTACTTAATCACAAACTAGTAAGTAGATAATCACAATTTAGTCAGTAGATAATCACACATTAATTAGTCGTTCCGAAGCAAGGTTACTAAAGGGGCGCTACTCTAAAAATGTGAATGCGCATGATTGATTTGGTTGACTCCCCTGTACATTTTGATATACTACAGTTACAGAATAGATTTTACTTAAAATATTTTAACTTTATACTATAGTTGAGCTGTTGGGTAAGTCATAGTTTCAAGTTCAGTTTATTAAAGTGAATTGACATTAAACTTGTATTTAGTTTTTATGGCCAATCTACTTCACCTGCACAAGATATCACCGTTTCCTTAACTTATTTTTTAAAAATGTTTTTAAAATGTTTTAAATATTAGCATTAAACAACTTTTTTTCTTCAATTATTCATACCGGAACAAAATCTTTAAAAATCCTTTGAAATAATCCACTCAACCCTTATCCACAATCCACAGGCGTGGCCCAAGCTGGGCCTGCACTGCCGTGGGTATCTCCACCCACTTCTTCTGGCTGTGGATGTTCACGTGGACGTTCATCAGCAGCCTCCACATGTTCAGGGTCTTCACGGCCAAAACTCGGAGCTTCGATCACACGGCGCAGTCTCCTCAGGATCGTCAGCTGGTCAAGTACCTGGCCCTCTCGCTGACGCTGCCTGTCGTTGTCATAGCAACTGTGATTGTCACTTTGCATGTCAGTACCGGCGGGAGTAGCATCGGATATGGAGACACTGCATGTTACCTGGAGCCTGCATTGATTGGTGATTAAATTAAAGAATGTTTGCTCGTCAATATAATTATATAATATGTAAATTTTTATGTATTATATATATATATATATATATATATATATATATATATATATATATATATATATATATATATATATATTTACATGTCTATATATAAACATACATATACATACATATACACACACACACACACACATATATATATATATATATATATATATATATATATATATATATATATATATATATATATATATATACATGTATATATATAAAAATACATATACATACATATACACACACACACACACACACACACACATATATATATATATATATATATATATATATATATATATATATATATTCACTAATACTGAAATAGTGCGACGGTGTGGCCAAGCAGTAGAGCGCTAGACTGCTAATGAAAAAGTTTCGATTTCGAATTCCGGTTCAAATCAGTTCAAAGTCCCTGAGTCAATCCAGCTCTGACGGGTACTAAACGCACGTTAGAGAAAGTTATGACGGCTGGCCAAATTGTTAACCACACTATTCCTTCACATAAACAGGTTAACTCTACTTCCCTTGTCCCATGGGCAGTCAGGTTCGAAAAGGGAACTTTACTTTTGTGTAATACTGCAACAGATATTTATCCTTTTATTTCTATCTACTTGAATTTATTTTTGACTGAAAACTTCAAGCTCTTTTTCATAGCTATGCCTATTGTAAAAGCTTTTTCGTATGCTTTAATTTTTGTTATAACAATGAAATATTTTTTTTTATAACAATATCGTAACAATATTTTTTTTACTTACAGTTCTTGCAGTAATCGCCCCATTAGCCCTCACCACCATCATCAACATCACGTTTTTCATCATCACTGTGGTGAAGATCCACCACGTCGACCAACCCCAGCCTACGCCTGGTCTAGACGAGCACAGGAACCTGTACGTCTACGTCAAGTTATCGTCCCTGACTGGCGGGTTCTGGGTCCTCGCCGTCATTGCTGAGGTGTTCGATATCGATGAGTTGAGGTCAGGGTTTCTTTCAGGCATCTATTGGTTGGGGGGGGGGAGGGCCCGAAGAAAATGTACCGCCTAACTCCGGGACGAAATGGAATTTTTTATAGAGAATATACACTTTTACGAGTGTCCGCATGCAAATTTAGTCTGCCTCCCCTTCTCCCGTGATCCCTTCCCCCCCGTCCCCGTCCCCCGGAAATCTCAATTTTATTGAGTGTGATTGGGTTTGAACGTTTTGGGACATTGTAGTTCGTTATTTTGATTATAGTTAGACTTTTGGAGGAGCTTTTGTGTTTACAGTTGTGATAGGCTTATGCTTTTAATTAGTCTTGATTTTAGTTGTTTTATTTTTTAGGATTACATGTATGATATAGATTAGAGGTGTATTTCTGTTTGATTTTTAAAGAACAATTTGGAGTTACTTACGCGCATTATTCCTGTACATTTTTTATTACCAACAGAATAAAGCAATGATTTTAGCCAGTTTAGAGAATTTATAGTTTGTGATGCACGAAAATCAGAATTACCTTAAGAATTTTATGCTTGTAAGTCTGATGATTTTAACAGTGTTTTTGATTGCGAATCTATACCATACATGGAAAAGATACAATATTTCTATATAGACCAAAATTTCGACAGGTATTGTCGTATTTCATAAGACATTGAAATACAACATAAAGATCTAAAGAAAATACAATCAAACAACTATGTAGAATGATGCTTAACTCCTTTGCAGGTTTGTCTCCATAGTCCTCAATGGCCTACAGGGTGTGTTCATCTTCCTGTCTTTTGTGTGTAGCAAGAGGGTACTCAACTTCTACTTGGTCTCGTTTGGTCTCGAACCCCTATCCACGACATTGGCATCGGAGTCCCGAACGAGGTCATTCAAGTCAAGAAAAAATACGTTTTGAATACATTTTGGTGATACAGACAAGCAGTTCTTCTTCTTCTGCGTTTTTTTTTAAATTTTAGTGTTGGAAGAGATTCCCTCCAACACAATTAAGTATCGTGTCGACTTGCTATATGGGATGTTGATGCTGATTTCAGACTGTTTTTCTTTTTGGGTTAGCTTCCATAGCCTTTGTCCAACCAAGGCAGCAGTTGTTTGATTTTGGAGTTGTCTCTCCTTGATGAGTTGCTGTCCCCAGCTGTCTAGCCTCATCTGCCCGAGAGTTCGAACTCGAGACGTTTCGGTTTAGCAACCAAGAGCTATACAGACTTGACCACATGCAATGTAGTGACTTGTTTAAGCAAGCCTTTGCAACCATGCAAAAAACAGCGATAGCAAAAAATTTTCTCCAAGACAAAACGCAGACTTCTCAAAAGTAATGTCCTTAGCAGTGGCGTAGGCAAGGGAGGGGGGTGGGGGGGGGGGTTATAACCCCTCACATAGACCCATATATATATATATATATATATATATATATATATATATATATATATATATATATGATTGTATACATATAGAAAAATGTTTGAACCCCTCCCATGACCAATTCCTGGCTACGCCCTACTCTATGTGTTTTGGGCTCAAGCAGGAAAAGATGATGATAAATTAAGTAGCATCAAGAATAGCTTATGCTGCAAATTTACTACTCGCAATAAAAGTATTTTCTTTGAATAGTGTTTGTTTTAAAGGTTTAAAATTTTTAAAAATTTAAAATGATTAAAAATTATGTTTTTAAAATGATTCAAATTGATTTTTTTTATGTTAAGTGGATCAATACTTGATTACAAGCACAAAGCATATCCACCTCTGGTAGGTATATATGACTTAATTTGGAAAAGTTACAACTGGGCATATGTGGGGTCATCCATAAATGACGTCAAGCTTTTTTGGACAATTTTTTTCACCTCCCTACTCCCCTCCGTCACACATCGTCACAAAAAGCCAGTCCCCCCCCCCCCCCCCCACCCCCACCCTCAAAATTGAGATTGGTTTTTTCTTAAAACATTGATATTTTTCCAAAATCTTGACTGAACTCTTTCAATGTAGTGCATTTGCATCTAATCTATATTACAATTTATTAAAACAGTTTTCTAAAACGCAAAATAACGGCTAAAATTCGTCTTTGAACATTGCTTTTATTTGATAAATGCAAACGTGTAACGTCACACTATCTGACCCCCCCCATCCCCCCCTCCCTCTCATCACACACCGTCTCAAAATTACGGACCCCTCTCCCCTACGAGTGTGACGTCATTTATTTACGACCCCTTTGTGCTGAGGTCACCCCCCCCCCCCCCCCCCGGAGAAAAAAGTCTGGAAGAAATACATGAGCTCTATCTCATCTGCGCCATCGGATTGTCTGGTCAGAAGATGAACATTTTTTGTCAACATGTCGATATAGATATTTTTGTATGTTTACAATACATTCTTTTTATTCCTTGTATGAAACAGTAGGGAGGTGTAAAGAGGCGAAAACAGCTTAAATTCATTTTTTTTAACGATAACAATAAAAATATACTCAGTCTAAGAGAGTGTGAAAAATAAAACTATGTAAGGGAGACAACCTGCAAAGATTGTTGATGAAAAGTAATATGAAAATAAAAAGTTGAAAATAATCGAATAAAAATAAACATTAATGTTCTTTTATATCATTATATAAGTTTGTTTAAAAGTGGCGTTACTAATGTTTCATAAACTTAATTTTTTTGAATTTTTAGATTTATTTCTCTTACTCTAGTTTAAACTGAAAAACCGTTAATGCTGTTACATGCTTGCATTATTTAGTTGAGACAATTCAATTTTAATCAATTCTTCTTCACTACGTTCTTCACTACGTAGAAGCGGAGCATTTTCTGCTTACTTTGCTATAGATCAGGGGTCTCCAAACTACGGCCCGCGGGCCGGATGCGGCCCGCGAGGTCCTCTCATCCGGCCCGCGGAGATCATTTTGTCCACGGAAATAAACGTTTGTTGGTGATGGCTGAGGAACTTTGCCCAGAAAAATCAGACATGCCTGGAAGAAACTGGCCCCCAAAATAAAATTTGATAGTTAATGTGGCCCTCGGACTGGAAAGTTTGGAGACCCCTGCTATAGATGAAAATAAACAAACTTCCTATTTACTAATTTATTTAATATTTACATTGAACTGTAAATTCAATATTAAAAAAACAGAATTATCATTTCATAACGATGACAACAGCCACACAACAACGCAAGGAGCCAGAAGTGCTGTCACATTCCAGCTTAGCTATGTTGGCAAGAAGGGTTGGTAAAGAAAGCTTAAAAGGAGTGGAATTTGCCATGTACCTTATATACATTCCAACAACTACAATCATCAAGTGCATCGCAGACATTACAGATACACCACTCACCAACGAAGGCTCAGAACAGAATAAAATGGATGTGACGCAGAAATGTCTGTTTTTATGGAAGGAGCTGACAAAATGCACGAAGACAAATCAGAGGGTGAAAGAGCTAGAGAGAGCATTAAGAGAAATAGGTAAGGCAGATATCGCTGATATTTTACAGGAGCGACATCAAAATAGCCAGGAGTTAACTCAAGAAATTTTTGGCTAATATCTTGGAAGTCATTGTATGCAAGTAGGAAGTGATTGTTAATACTTTAAATAGTGAAGATGTTATTTTATACATAATTGAATAGTAAATAGTGTTATTACTGTAAAATGTATAAAAATTACTGCTGGATATGTTTATGTTTTAAAAAATTATGAAATAGTCGTTCAACAGTTGTAATCTATTTTATCAAAATTGCAATTAACTAGAATATACATGCAAATAATGTTAACTTCTAATAACTGTCAAACATGCATCAAGAATTGTTATAAGATTCAAATTTGACACGATTTTTAATAAAAAGACATTGTATTGACCTCAAGTTTTTTGAAAAAAAAAAATAAAAAAAAAAAAAAAAATTTGCTATAGAATAAATTTTAGCCCAAGCTTCAAATCGTCACACATCTCACTAAATGTTGACCAAGCTCAGGACATATTTTATGGAGAAAAACTGCAATTTTTTTGTGTAGGGGAGGTAGTAGATCTAGCTTGAGGTGTGATTGTGTTCAGAAATTGGCCACAGCTCTGTCTCTGTAGCAGAAAGAAACGCAACAATGTCCACGATTTGTCAGTCCTTGTTTAAAGAACTTCAACCTGGAATTAAGCTTTTAGCACATATCAAGACTATACCAAGCTCTCTCAGATCTAGCACAAGATGTTTTACACATTCTATCAGCCCATTACGAAGGGCTGTTGCTTCAGGGCATCAACTCCCTGCAGACTTACTTTCTCCAGAGGAACAGATGATGAAAGATTCAGTTGCCCAGTTAGCTATCCAGAAAATTCAAAAACATGTTTCTGAAATGGATGAAAATAGCAAAATGAAACCAGAGATTATTCAAGCATAGTTCGAAAATGGGTTAATGGGAATGGGAATTCCAGAGTATGGAGGCACGAATTCAACTTTCTTCGCTGCAACCATATTCATTGAAGAGCTCGCCAAAGTAGATCCTTCTGTCAGCGTGCTATGTGATGTCCAAAAAGCTTTAGTCAATATGCTTTTTGTTAAACTTGGTACAGAGGAGCAAAAGAAAAAATACCTTCCCCGACTGGCCAAGGATACGCTGGGCAGTTTTTGTTTATCAGAAGCTGAATCAGGGTTTGATGCCTTTGCACTCAAGACAACAGCAGTAAAAGATGGGGACAATTTTATCCTAAATGGGACAAAAGTGTGGATAACCAATGCAGAACAGGCTGGAGTGTTTCTTGTCATGGCTAATGCAGATCCAAAAAATGGCTACAAAGGCATAACTTGCTTCATTGTTGATAGAGACACTGAAGGTCTACATGTGGGGAAGAAAGAGAACAGACTTGGCCTACGCGCATCTAGCACCTGTTCAGTGATACTTGATAATGTCAAGGTCCCTTCAAGCAATATACTTGGCGAATTTGGCAAAGGCTACAAATATGCCATAAAAATGTTAAACAGTGGTAGAATAAGCATAGCAGCTCAGATGTTGGGGTTGGCACAAGGATGTTTTCACCATGCTGTCAATTATACAATGGAGAGAAAACAGTTTGGAAAACGCATTTATGATTTTCAAGGCATTCAACACCAAGTTGCTCAGGTTGCAACCCAAATAGAGATTGGTAAGGTCATGATGTGCAATGCTGCCAGACGACATCAAATGGGTTTGTCAGTTGTTAAAGAAGCAGCCATGGCTAAATATTAGCCACATTGACTACATCTAAAAGTATAGAATGGATGGGAGGAGTTGGCTTTACAAAAGATTATCCAGTTGAGAAATACTTTAGAGACTGTAAAATTGGCACAACCTATGAAGGAACCAGCAATATTCAACTGAACACAATAGCCAAATGTTTGGAGCAAGAGAAGCTATCTGGGCTTTGAATACTATACAAAAATATTCTTAAGTCAGCTATTGCCCCAACAAGAGTAATTCAATTTAATTCTACTCTCGACAATTGTTATGTAACAAACTAATGAATAATATAGTATTAGCATAAGTGATAATTATTCACTATTAACTGTATGAAAAAAAAATCTATCAATTTACTGATTCTGCAACAAAATTCATGACTAAATGCTGTGTTATAATTATTGTAACAATATTTGATTGCTTATTAATTTAGTTGTAACTGTATGAAGATTCAATTATTGATGAATTAAACTGTTATGTACAGAAGAAAATGATTGAATAAACTTAAATATGCTGAAAAAAAAATAATTGCTATAGAATATTACTATTTTAAATGTTTAAAACAAATAAATTTAAAAAAAAAACAAGTTAATTAAAAAGTCTAGTGACAATTTAAGCGCAATTTCCTTAATTAATTTTTTAGAATTAACAGACCTACGTAAAAATCCTTTCGAACCTCCGCTCATTCGCTATGGTAAAATCCTTTCGAACCTCAGCGCTTTGCTCAGTTTAAATTAAAAATATCATCCTAGGCCTACACGATGCTCAGTTTAAAAATTCTTAATTAATTTTTTGTGACCGAACGAAAGGATATTTTTTGAAAACTTTCTTCGGCAATATTGTTCTAAATTATAACAGGAATCGATTGGTAAATGTTTCAAGTCGCTAAGTGGTCTGGTTGCTGAGATATGGGCCAAAAACTGCATTTTTTCGAGGTTTTTTTGGCTTTTCCGGGAAATCCAGGAAGAAATTCCGGGGAATTTTTTGGCCTATGTTCATCCTCGGAACTTGCATAACAGAACTAGTCCTCGATATTGCTTCGTTGAGGAGGAGATACGACTTAAAGCTGCGGACACACATCCATCCAGAAATGACGAGTTAATAATCGCAATCCCCCAGTATGGAAATTGCGCTAAAAACTGTGGGAGGACTGCTATAGACATAGATGTTCGAAAGGGAAAAATGCTTGTTTTGATGTGTCTGACTGTAATCAGCATAGCTCCATATATAAGGATCAGCGCATTGGTTTTGATTTGTAGCGAGGGTGTGTTTGAATTTTAAAAAAAAAACCAATTTAACCTTTCTATTGTTGCTCATTGAATCAAAGCGGTGCTTACCAGGCATCTACCACACAGCACACAAACACACACAAACTGACGCACGAACTCATACCAGTGGCGGAACTAGAAAAAATGGGCCACCCCGCAAAAAATTTTTTTGGGCCCCCCATATATGTATATATATATATATATATATATATATATATATATATATATATATATATATATATATATATATATATATATATATATATATATATATATATATATATTTATATTTATATTTATATACATACATACATATGAGTGCATTGGTCTGTTTTGAAAATCTGTTTTCATTTATGTTTAATACTTCTAATCATTAAGTCGGTCAAAAGTATATCAATCATGAAGCTTTGTATAAGTAATGGTGTCTCGTGTTATGTTTATTTTTATGTTTTTTGTATTAATATTATTAATTTTATCTACGTTTCATTTTTATACTATACTATTCTTTAGTACTTATTTTTTTTTAAATAATAATTAAGACCAGTAATTGCTGTTTAATTTGATTATTACAAATCTATTAAAAAGAGCTTTTGAGCAACCCTATTTGACTATTTGAAAAAGGGAAATAATTTATGGAAGTGGTTTGAGCGTTTGCCTATCTTTCACACTACAGCTAATGTGTATATATTTTTTAAATATTTTTTTACACAACAGCATGTCTTAGCTACTATATAACATCACTGCTGTATTAGATCTGTTATCTGTTTGTTATTTACAAGGTTCCAGTGACGAAACTAATATATATATATATATATATATATATATATATATATATATATATATATATATATATATATATATATATATATATATATATATATATATATATATATATATATATATAACACGCTATCATTCGTGTATTTATTTGAGACGTTTGCCTTGTTTTCTAGAACAGTGGTTATTAAACGTAAACAATGTCGGCACTTTATTTCTTGGATATTAGTTGTTGGAGCGTTAGCTTGTCTACACTACCACCGATACGAGCCAGCTTAGTTGTTGAGGCGATATCTATTCGCTTCTTGTAAGGCTAAGAGCGGGAGGGGAGGCCTCAGAAAGGAACTTAAAAGGGACAACAAAGCACTGATGTGCTTTTAGCCATCAGTACCAAATTTGGGATGGTCTCAAAAAGCCGTCTTAATATCTAGCGGCCTCTCGCGCAATTGATGTTTTTTCAAAAGAATTTGCCGACAACAGCGTGTGTTTGATTGTAGGAAAAAGAATATACAAGAGCGTGGGATGGTGTCTATAGAATAAATATACTCCAACCGCAGCTACAGTATTCTTTTTTCAAAACAACCATCAGGTCAAAAAAGAAAATTAATTTTAACTATAAAAAAATGATTATGGGCGGCTGTGGGCCCCCTAAACGGCGTGGGCCCCCCCGCATTGCGGGGTCTGGCGGCACTGTAGTTCCGCCCCTGACTCATACCAAGACAAAAGTGTCATGTTACATTCTCCTACAATGCTATATTTTAAAACAATTAGAATGGGTCGGCATGGTCGAGTCAGTAAAGCTCACGTTTGCTAAATCAAAAATTCACGAGTTCGAAACCTCGGGCAGATGAGACTCGTTAGATGGGGACGGCCACTCTTCTAGGAAAGACAACTCTTGGTTGGACAAAGGGAAGCAAATCCAAAAAGAAAAGCAGAATGACAATTGGATCCCTTCCTACATTAAAATTAAGAACGAAAAATAGGAAAAACAAGAGTTGATCTGGTAGATAGTTCTTTGCAAATGATTGAGAGTTAGATCTAACTTCATAAAACTACAAGTCAAGACACATTCAAATTAGGAAATCAAGGTGTTCTCCCTTCAGCCGAACTCATTCAATATTGTGTTGGTAAATTTACTACCAATGTTTTTTTTGTGTAATGTATTTTACCTTTCACACGGCGAACAACAACCAAGAAAATTAATGTGTTGGCAAGACATTAATTTCTTTAAGAATTTAACAGCTTTTAGAAATATTTAAAAATAAGATAATAAATCAACGTTGTCAACTTTTAATTTTTACCAAATTTGATTACAAACATCGTGTTCCATATCCGGAAAATTAAATATGGTATGAAGATTTGAAATCAGACTTGTGTTATCTCCTGTTTTGTATTTATACGTCTCACGTGATGGTGTTATTTGATAAGGTACTTAGTTTTAAAATGGGTGACAGGGTGCATCAATTTGAGAACGACTGATTTACACCGACGTGTCGCCGACTCGAAGAAGCATTAAATAACATAATATCTTTAGTGAAAAACTAAAACAAATTTAAAGATTATGCTTTAAGATTTAGCCACGACTTTTTAAGGCCGTCAAGGAAAGCAGTTAAATGACGTGTGTGTACATAAGGAACATCACAACGGCGACTAATACCCCCAGAAGAAAGTAAGGTGTATCAGCCAAGACATCGCTGTCTAATTTAAGACACGCTAACCCGAAGCCATTAGTCTTAGTTGAGCTAGGAGTCAAGTGGTGTGTGCTATTTTCGTTTTCAGGGGAACCTACTCTTGAAGCCGCGAGTTTGTTGACAATAGTTATGGCGTCAATATTTTCCATGACAAATCTGTTGTTCATTAGACTTGTTAAACACGCGTTGCTAGTATTTTTAAGAGGAATTATAGCTAGGAGTTGACCCAGGTATGAACGTCGGAGTGTTGTGTTTTTATTGTCGTTTGTTGACGTTACAATCTTCCTACATCTCGCAGAATCCGTCTCTGTCAGGAACGTACTTGTCTTGCCGTTACTGTTATAGGGCACGGGTGTTAGAAAGGAGTCATCTGAACAGGTCCATTTTAGGACCAAGTCCACAACTAAATCGGCATTAAAAAACAGAATATTTTCTAACAAGTCTGAAAAATCGTCATAGGTAAGTTGCGTGAGATCATTTGATTCGGCAATTTCCGAAAAGTTCTCCGTCAATAATTCTTTCACTTTTGCTATGACGACTGCTGAATCCAACAATTTGGCTGCTTGATAGACGTCGCAGAAATTTTCCAATGTTGTATTGTTCTTGACGAATTTTTCACAGGCCGAGATTAAAAATTCGATCTGAAGTTGGTTTGACGCGTGCCACATTGCAAGCATATTCTCTTCGTTTAGGACCTTCTTCCCTTTGTATAAAACATCAAGTATGAGATCAAATATATCAGGCGAGATCCCAACTAAGGTACAGCTTGACTCGGATTTTTCTTTCATATCTGTCCGCAAGAGGGCGTTGAAGAAACCAGAGCAGGAACTTAGGATAAACTTGTGACAGTCGAACTGGAAGTCGCCAACGTTGACAGTGAAGTCGGTGAAGCTGTCCATGTTGGCTTGTAAACATTTGAAAACTTCCTTGGCCATGTGCTTGTCCATCCCGTTATGACCGGTAGAACAGAGATCCACTCGGCTGTAGTTGTGGGTTCTCTGGAAAGAGAAAGCGAAAAACACAAATCATTATTTTCTTCCCGTTTGTGCCTTAAACACGGGAACAGGGCATTACCCCCCCCCTCCAGTCAATTACCCCCGGACATTCACCCCCCCCCCCCTCCCCCAACATTATCCCCAGGAGTAATTACCTTCTGTCAATTACTCCCGTCCAGTAGGACATTACCCTCCCCGTCATAGCTTAAGGTACAGTTAGGGTTAAGGTTAGGGTCAGGTTAGGGTTAAGGTTAAGGTTAAACTAATGTCTATGGTTGGGGTTGGGTTAAGTTTTAGGCTGAGGTGAATACTTAGGTTTAGGCTTTTTCTGGAGGTTAGGATTAAGGTAATTTTTAGGTATAGAGTTAGAGTCATGATTCTTGAGCTTGGTGGTAATTGAATTTGATAATAGCTCTGGGGGTAATGTCAAGGAGGGGGGGGGATGTTCGTGGGGTAATTGACGGGGGGTTATGTCCTAGATCCCCCCCCCCCCCAAAAAAAAATAAACAAAAAAAAACCAATGGGGCAGATAAAGTAGAGTTAATGTGTTGCAATAGTACATAGTTGCTGATTTTTAAATCGAAGACTATTGTTACATGTGAAGCGGATGTGAAGTTTCCCTTTCGAACCATGCGGTGTATGAGAGCAGATATAGTAGCCCATATGTTTCTGTGACCTGGGCACATGAAAGGATAGTGCAGTCACTTGAATGCCCAGACTTCTTCACTTTCCCTAACTTGAATCTGTGCTGGGTAGACTCGACAGCCTACGGACTCAAGTCTCAGATTTGAATTCTCGAGACTTTCGGGTTAGCACATGCAGGGGCGTAGCGAGGGGGGGGGGGGGCGGGGGTGCGGACTTCGGACACCATTTAGGGGGGTGACACCAAGGCAAAAAATAGCAAAATATATAGAGAAAAACTTGAGGGGAGGGGGGTGCAAATCGATAGTTTGAGGGGTGGTGCAAATCGAAAACTTGAGGGGGGGGGGGTGGGGTGCAAATCGAAAACTTGAAAGTTTGTCCCCGGGAAGGGTTGCTACGCCTCTGGGGGGTGACACCATTAAGTGCCGCACCGGGTGACACCCGACCTCGCTACGCCACTGAGCACATGTCAATACTAATGATCATACCGTAAAATAACAACAGTCGTATGTTATAGGTCGAGAGGTCGGTCATTGCTGTGGATTGGAGGGGGGGAGGGGGTTGTTTATTTGGTAGTTTCTATAGTGAACACCAAACTCTGTTTACTGTCAACCTTTTGTCTTTTTTTATAGCATTAAAAGAACAAATGCCGTATGCCATAATAGGTCGATAGGTCATTGCTATGGATTAGTGAAAAGGGGGGGGGGAGGTTGTATGTATATTTGTTAGTTTCTATAGTGAACACCGAACGCTGTTTACTGTCAACCTTTTGTCTTTGTTATAGCATTACCAAACGATTTCTGTGTGTGGTGGTGATATGTTTCGGCTAGACTTTTATAATATAGAACTCAAAAGACAAATACATATAGGCTACATTTAATTACCCTAGTTTATCCTACCTTATTAGTGGTAGCGGCTTGTGAAAACAAACACGTTCAACTCATATTGCACAACACTGAACGATGCGGCTTTGGGAATCCCTGATGTAACTGTAAGGAAATGTGAAGACAATTTTTTTTTTTTAAAAAGGAACTTGAAAATATTTTCTATACATTTTATTTAAACAGTACATGAAAATCGCATCAAAGGTAACCAACCCGGAAACAAAAAGAGTGCCCCGTTCCCCACAAAAGAATCCTCAATTGGGCAGATGAAGTAGAGTTCAAATGTTTCTTGACCTCGACATACGAAGGGAGCTGAACGGACCCAGGGAAGCTCTACTGACCAGAGTTTCTTCCAGTCTACCGCCCCCACCCCCCGAACGAAATAAAATTTATATAGAAAGCTTATACTTTTACCAGTATCCACCCCACCCCCCGGAAAATGTTGTCCACCCCCCTCCCCACCAAAAATATCAAGTGCCCCCCCCCCCCCCCCCCCCCGAAAAAAAAAGTCTGTAAGAAACACTGATACTGATACTGACTCTGACCTGGATTTGATTTGGAACTCGAGACTTTTCGGGTTAGCAGCTGTATAGAATTTATATACAAAATAAATACTTCAACCAGCGTTCGAAACACTCGGAAATTTAGTCCCCCTACGTGTAGAATAGATCTAGATCTAGATCTAGAATCTAGATGTTATTGTTAGAGTGCACAGCGAAATCATATTTTATGAATTATAATAATAAACTAATGATAATTTAATTTTTAGGCGAATGCGTGTTTAAAAAGTGTGACGTAGTTCCTCTTTTCCGTATCAACATGTAAACAATATGGCTGAACTCGAATGCATATTTTTGTTCAATGGCACAGGCATTATTTAAACCTCAGTCATCTGTTTTAAAATGTGTCATCTTAATACATTGGACTAAAAATAAACACAAAAATCAACCTAAATTCTTTACGCATACTGTTTTAACTAAATAATATTTGGCTTTCAGCTAAGACTCGTTAAGTTAAAGTTAGTGAAAGTTCAAAGTTGTGAAAGTGTGTTGTTTGATGGTTGCTGGACTTACAAAATTGAAAGTGAAGATACGATTTCTTTACATGACAAAAGAAAATGGGAAACGGTTAATGCAGAACGAAGAAGTGTGTTCATCATACAATTAGATTTAATTTTACCAACAAGTCCAATGTTCAATGTATTAATTTAATGAGCAGTAAGGTATGCATTCACCCCTTTGGTGTTCCCTGTTCAATCAATTATTAATTTATTATTATATATTATTATTTAGGCCTATAGGCTACAAGCCTATTTATTTTATTATTAAATCTTAAAAATGAATTAAGTTAATTATCTTGAGGATTTTATGGAAAATTACACCTCATAGAATTTTTTTTATCCATGTACTTGATTGTTATCCATGTACTTGAATAGACTGTTGTGTTACTGTCCTTGCACAAAATCAATATTATACTAATATATTTCCTAATTTCTAAATAAAATACATAGAAACAACACCATTTTTGGACATAAGTCAATTTTATAGCTAAAGACAAAGATGACTGGTTATGTAGAAGAACTTCAAAAAGAATCATTTTGGAAAGAACATCAAGATTCGTAAGTTGTTTTTTTTTCATGGCCCCTTGAACCTTCTGCAATTTTTTTGCTCCCATGTTTGAGTCTGGTCTTAATGTTGTCAATTTTGGTTATTACTTTGGCAAAAGAGCTTAATAAAATACGATTTTAAATGGTGTTTGCTGTTTGGTAACTAACTAACTAGTATTGTTATTCATTACCGTTATATTAATGTTTTTTTACGTTCATAAATAATAAACTTTAACAAAACTTTGTTCCTTTGATTCTTCATTCTTGCAAGTTGACTGAAAGAAAGTAGAATGTTTCATATTATTATTATATTTATTTAATTTATTTGGGCAAATTGTTATTTATTTAACATGTTTCTTAATGTATTGCCTAATTTATATTTTCTCTTATTAATATTTTTAAAGCAAAAATGCCTTTTGGATTTGAATTGTATTATACATATATTTTCTCTTGTCAAGGCTGGTAAAGATCCGCCAGGATTTGGTCTCAAGAAAAAAATCTCGTCCAAAATTTACTCCAGTAGGAGGTATAAGGAAGCAAACACAGAAAAAGTCAACTCATCCTCCTTACGGAAAATACCGTAGAACTCCGTCTCCTTACCTTCCAAAGTAATTTGTTATTAAGTGGAAATTGTTGGATTTATTTTGTGTTATTGAGATGTGCATTAATTATTAACGAGCCGGCCCGCGGCGTATCATACGCCGCTATTTAGTTGTTGTTTTTTCTACTTTTCAGTAATTCATAATTTGTGAATTCGACAGTACCAACGCGGACACTGAAAATATTTCTTTAAAACACTATAAGTAGCTCGTTAAGGACCATAACCCCCCCCCCCCCCCCCTTCCTCCCCCCCCCACGTTTAAAATCGTTTCAAACTAAATTATCTGCCCCTAATAGCCATCACTAAACCCAACTCCACGAAGGTAAACATAGCGTGAACCACAGCTCACTAAGATCATGTAGGGGTGGGGATGTTAGGGAGCACGCTTGCAGCTTGTTTTCTAACGGCTCGAAGAAGAGAATTATATATATAGATAATAATAAATCAGCAATAATATTTTATTAAACTTAAATTGTTAATTTTACTGTTTGTATTATCTGTAGAAAAAAAATACTGTTTAATTAAATTGGCAAAAAAACTATTATTTGTTTTACTTCTTATTTCATGTTGTTGTTTTTTTTTTTTTTCATTGATTTAAGCTATTTGCTTTCTCTCTTTGATAGATTAAGTCCTGAGCCTGCTAAGGCAACTAAAGTTCCTGTAAATGGTGTTTATAAAAGCAAATTTGAAAAGATTCCTCCCGTTAGGGCAAAAAATGCTTTTCTGCCCAAGTAAGCTTGTTTAATGTGATAAAATTTAATTTTAATGACCAAAGCTTTCTTGTTAAATTATATGTTACACTAAGAAAAGGAAACTAGAACTTATAAGATTTTTAACCTAAAACGACAAAACAATTACTACACATATTACTATTTAATATTCAGGTTAACATTTATATTTGCATAAACAAAAATATATTTATCATGCGTGAGTTCATGTTAATTTTGTGTAACATCTGTATCCACAGAACACCAGATTATGACAGCTGGGGTGAAGAAAGCAGCAATGATGATGACTACCTAGATGACGATGATGACGAGGAAGAAAAAATAGAACCAGTTAGGAAAAAGCACAGGCATAGGAACTCTGTATCAAAGAGATACAAACCTCAGCCTTACAAACCTCAGCCGTATCCCCCAAACATGTATCTCCATCCGCAAGTTATATATGGAGCACCTTACTCATTGTACTACCCCCCTCCACCTGCTGGGGCAAGAAAAAATAAGAATAAGTAAGTTTTATTTTTAATTCTTTCTTACTTTTATAGTAAGATTGTCAGGGGTTTTTGAGAATTTGAAATTGCTTGAATTCTAAAAGGAAATATGTTAGGCCTTATGAATCTATGACCCAAATTAAAGTTTTTGTATTGTTCATTATATTTTTGTAGACCTATTTCAAGCACTATTAAGATTTATTTAAACGCTTTATAAAAAAAGTAAACAAACTGGTTTATTCATATCTGTATGCTAATTGAAATGCTGCATGTTCTGAAATGATATTTTATTTTTACATTAATGGTTAGTTTTTCTAAAATCACCAATACTTTCAGTGCCCAATTTTCTAAAAGTACCTCACAAAAGTACCCAAGAAAGGTCTCTCGCTCCGGCATACCTGTGCGGAAAAAGAAAATGATCTCACCTGTTCACCATTCAGTACCTGTGTACCCTGCGGCGTACCCCATGGTGCCAACAGTCATGTTCCAGCAGGATCTGGAGGAAACAGAAGAAACGGAGGAGGAAGATGAAAATGTGAGTCCTGTGTCCAGTATATTTATCAGGCCATGTGGGCTATGGCTACAATATATGAATGTTATGAAGTGTTCATAATCTAACAATGAAAAGACAGCTGTACATTCATTGCTTCACCCCTTTAGTTTTTACTTTAGTGTAATGTTTTGTAATGTGTAGTAGTTTTGGACTTATTGTCTGTGTGAATAAAAAATTAAGGATTTTCATTATATTTTTCACAAACTTAACACAAGACTTATTTTATTTCTCAATAATAGTAACTTTTCTATTTATTTTTTTTTTAAAGGCATAAGATTTTTATTATCTATTATTTTAAACTGCCTTAGAATTATTTTAAAAGTTTAAAAAAATGTCTACATTTCTCTGAGACACTGAATCATTTAACTCAATCAGCCTTTACTTTCCCTAACATGAGTTAGGTACCCGTCAGAGTTGGATTTACTTAGGGACGTTCTACTGACTTGAACCCAGATTGAAATGTACCACCCTCTGAAAATGCTTCATGTGTTGCATAGTACATTTAACACATTTTTTTTATTGTTGTCATGTCACCAGATGAAGTTAGCTCTGGCCCATTGGAAGAACCATCCTCTGTTTGCCAGTGATTTCTGCAACTGGTTCATTGATGACTGTCTGAATACAGATCTGTTGCCTGATTTTCTCATTGATATTCTTCATGAAATTAAATATATGGTAGGTCAAAGTTTCACCTTGCCCATGAAGTTAAATGGATGGCTGGTCACAATTAGATATCTCTCGTGAAAATAAATAAATAGTAAGTAAAGTACTCTTTCAAGCCTTGCGGTCCTTTTGGAGCAGGTGAAGTAGAGTTCACCTGTTTCTGTGACTTTGGCATCAGAGTTTCTTCCAGACATCTATTCGGGGGCCCTGACCCCCTGAAGAAAGTCTACCACCCTCAGAGCGAATTAAATTTATATAGAAATTGAAGAAAATATATATAGTTTTAACAATGTCCGTGACTCCCCTACCCCCCCATCCACCGGAGAAAAAAGTCTGGAAGAAACACTGTTCAGCACTATGCATAGCCACCTTTACTTTGCCTACCTTAAGTCTAGAAACCATCAGAGCAGGGTGGACTTAGGGACTTATATACTCAAGCCGGGACTTTTTTGATGAGCATTCAATGCTCTACCATACCAACACGCTGTCACTAAATTAAGTCATTGGTTGGGAAACATTTTTCATTACAAATGAGCTGCTTTTGACGGCTATCACATATCTGCTGTTGGTTGCCTATCTTTTATGTAAATAATGCACGGTTGGTCAAAAATATTTTCTTGTATATAATAAGAGCCACTAATGACTGCATTTTTTTCATCCAGAGGCAAAACGACCCTTCCCTGCACCCGGGGACAAACTTTCGATTTGCAACCCCCCCCCCTCCCCCCTCAAACTTTCAATTTGTTTTTCCAACCCATCAACCCATTTTGGCACTCCCCTAAGGTCGGCGCCCGGGGACATATGTCGTCCTCACCCACCCCCCCCCCCCTCGCTACGCCTCTGTTTTCATCCTGTAGAAAGTAATATTGGACCAACTTAAGTTAAATTAGTTTGACTAAGTTATGCATTTATAAGTTGAAAATTTGAAGTGCTTGTTAATTGTTATCTAAAAATATATTGTCTTGTGTTGATTTTCCCAGAAAAGTATAAAACATGAAATGGATATTAGTTTTGTATTTGCATTTGATTCCTTTTTTTTTTTCAGCCTTATGACCACCCATTGTTTTTGCCATCCATCTACACATGTGAGGATATACTGTCTGACCATGTGGCTGAAATGGCTCTTGAAATTGTCAGGGAAACTGCTTCAGAGTTAGCGAATGAGTAGGTTGATTTGATTCCATGTTAAACTTTAAAAAACATAGCCCTACTGTTAAACTCAACAAATGAGTAGTTGACTAGATTCCATAATAAACTTTACTTTAAAAAATGCAATTCTAATAAAATTCAACAAATGAAAAGGATGTCTTGATTTCATATAAAACTTTACACTAAAAACATTTTGACCACACTCAATTCGTTTATTGGAATATCATTATCTACATAGCCACAGTAAAATTAAAATTGTCTATGATTTTTAAAAACTATTTCTAAAATTAAGATGGTCAAGTCTTGTTTATTTTGAAAAAGTCAAATGTTATTTTTATTAAGGCTTAAAAACTCATGCCCAGGCCTTATGTGTTAGCAATAAAGATATTCATTGAAGTATAAAAACACCTAGTTTTTACTTTCTCGTATATACGAAGTATAGAGAAAGTCTTGTAATCGTGCACAAAAATCACATTAAATTTGGACAGTTTTCACCGTTTTACTCCACAGTCCTTCATCACATCTGGGATATAGAAGACTTATTTTAATCGGGCAAAAATTATAAACTCAGATATATAAAAATTTTGGTGTTTTATGCGTAATGGAGTTGGAAAAACTGGATTATCCAATTCTGTCCGTGTGTGTGTCCGTGTGTAAACACGATAACTTGAGTACCGTTACAGCTAGGTTGATGAAATTTCATATATAAGTATTTTATCAAAATCGTAGATCCGTATTAACTTTTGAGCGATTTCCGATAACCGGAAGTGGTACTTTTTCTACTTTGAATTTTTCAAAAGCCTATAACTTGAGTTCTATTTCAGATAGATAAATGAAATTTGATATGTAAGTAGAAGATCTAATTCTCTACCTTCTGTCAAATTTTGAGTAATTTCCGTTTATCGGAAGTACTTATTTACGCTACTTCCGATTTCTCAAAAACGCATGTAAATTTATAAAGTACTAATAATATTGCGCACTATTATGCACATCTTTATTTAGCGTTCACTTGGTGTGCATTTCTTTTTTCTACGAGATTATATTCTATTTTTAGTGTTATATTAGAATATTCGAGAAAGTTTAGGGGAGATCACTCCCGGTTTATTCTTATAGCTATGAAGTCAGATATTAACATTAATTTGATCATATAGTTTTTGGGGTTAAACTGTTAGGTTTCTATACAATTAATAGTTAGAACAATACACCTTTCTGTTGATGTCAGGTTCATATTCTAGGTTTGAATTAATTAGACTAAGGATTAAGGTAGAAATTCTAACCATAAAAATCAGCCCCTGGTATGGCCTGCTAACATGTTAATTAGTTCTTAAATCATTTTGTTTTATACCAGTAAGTGCAAGAGTACTTTCAACTTCTTCCCTGGCAACAACAATCCCACACTGAAACATATCTTTTTAACTCGTTCAATATACCCTACACCAGCATTAATGCGCACCAATTTGCCTTTTTTTAAAAAATGTTCCCTTTGAAACCTGAAGGTCTATAGGGCAAGTGAAGTAGATTTACTTGTTTCTGTGAACTCTGCATATGAAGAGATAGTGTGGTCAGCACTATGCCCAACCGCCTTTACTTACCCTAACATAAGTTAGGTACCCATCAGAGTTGGGTGGACTCAGGGGCGGTCTACTGACTTGAACCCGGATTTGAACTCGAGACTTACGGGTTAGCAGTCCAGCTCTCTACAGCTAGACCACTCCGTCCCACAACCAATTTGCCTAATCAAACATATATCAGAACATTCATATTGTAAACTAAATGAATCTGCTGACGTTAAAGAATTTCCTTTCAGCTACATTGATGAGAAGCTCCTTCAATCTGCTGACATTAAACAATATCCTTTCAGCTACATTGATGAGAAGCTCCTTCAATCTGCTGACATTAAACAATATCCTTTCAGCTACATTGATGAGAAGCTCCTTCAATCTGCTGACATTAAACAATATCCTTTCAGCTACATTGATGAGAAGCTCCTTCAATCTGCTGACATTAAACAATATCCTTTCAGCTACATTGATGAGAAGCTCCTTCAATCTGCTGACATTAAAGAATTTCCTTTCAGCTACATTGATGAGAAGCTCCTTCAATCTGCTGACTTTAAAGAATTTCCTTTCAGCTACATTGATGAGAAGCTCCTTCAATCTGCTGACATTAAAGAATTTCCTTTCAGCTACATTGATGAGAAGCTCCTTCAATCTGCTGACATTAAAGAATTTCCTTTCAGCTACATTGATGAGAAGCTCCTTCAATCTGCTGACATTAAAGAATTTCCTTTCAGCTACATTGATGAGAAGCTCCTTCAATCTGCTGACATTAAAGAATTTCCTTTCAGCTACATTGATGAGAAGCTCCTTCAATCTGCTGACATTAAAGAATTTCCTTTCAGCTACATTGATGAGAAGCTCCTTCAATCTGCTGACATTAAAGAATTTCCTTTCAGCTACATTGATGAGAAGCTCCTTCAATCTGCTGACATTAAAGAATTTCCTTTCAGCTACATTGATGAGAAGCTCCTTCAATCTGCTGACATTAAAGAATTTCCTTTCAGCTACATTGATGAGAAGCTCCTTCAATCTGCTGACATTAAAGAATTTCCTTTCAGCTACATTGATGAGAAGCTCCTTCAATCTGCTGACATTAAAGAATTTCCTTTCAGCTACATTGATGAGAAGCTCCTACAGGAAGATCCCCTGGAGAAGTTTCTCTCTGACCTCATAGAAGATGCTGTGAGGATGGGGGCCAGGGACATCGTCAGGTCCTCTGTCATAGAGATAGCGGAGGATTACGTGCAGACGGAGTTCTCAACGGGCGTCATAAATAGTTTACTTCATGACCATATGATGGAGATAGGGCCAGAGCTGGTGAGATTTTTTTTTTAGAATTTTTAAAATCCTTTTTTATTGTGAGCCTGGTGCTATTTTTCTTGGGTTTATGATGCACTTTTATTTTGGACTAGAGATATTCTTCCTGTGAGCTTAATATTTTCTGTGGGCCTTAGATACTCTTTTAGTATAGGCGTAAAACTCTATTTTCTTTGGGCTTTATATACTCTTTTTAAGTGTATGCTTAAAATATTTTCTTTGAGCATAAGATACTCTTTTAGTATAGGCTTAAAACACTATTTTCTATAGGTCTTAGATACTCTTTCGTGTTGACCTAATATTGCCTTTTATTATGAGTCCAAGATAATTTTACAGATGGCCTAAGAATATACTATTTTATGTGAAATTTAGACGCTATTTTTGTAGGTCTAATAAACTCATTTATGAAGACACTGAGTTACTTTGCTACTGGTTTGACCTTGAAAAAAAGTCATTTAAATAATAAGAATGAAAATTAAATACAATTTAACATTTTTTATAAAAGCTACAATAGTAATTGATTCATTATAAAAGCCACTTAATTCTGATATTTGATATTTTTATTAGCTTGAAGAGTTGACTTTTGACATAATTGCCGAGGACTTCATTGACTCTGAGGTCATCAGTTCAGAGGTGAAAGAAGAAGCTGAAGTTATCGCAAGAGAAACAATACAGTACTATGATGATAAAGTCTTGAGGAGGGAATTCAAAGAAGTGAGTGGGGTTTTGTTTTATCTTGTTCTTTAAATATCTCATACAATTTTATACTTAGAAACACCATAAAAATTTACGAGGTGTTTTACATTAGACAGCTATGGAGCGATAAGTTAATTGATAGGCGGAAAGTCAACCATTTGCCCTGTCAATATCCCCTCTCGCTGATCACCCCTCTAGAACAGTGGTTCTCAACCTTTATGGAGGTGCCAAAACCCCACCAGTTTCATATGCATATTCACAGAACCCTTAATAGTTCTATCATCTGCACTGACAAAATCAACATGAAAAATATGAGTCGTGTGTGTGTCTTGACCTTTGCCGAACCCTGAGACTGACTCACCAAACCTCTGGGGTTTGATCAAACCCAGGTTAAGAACCACTGCTATAGAAGAAGAATTAATTACCCTTATATATCAAACCCCCTCCCCTGCCTAAAATTCTGCCTTATGTAATAATCTGCCTGACTGTCACAAATTGAGCCTAATCCTAACCTTTAATGTAAACCTAATTAAAAAGTAATATAATTTGGATAAGGTTATACTTATAGTTAGGGTTAGATTAAGTGCTAGGCTTAAAAAATGTTCTAGAGGGAATAAGCTCTTCACCAACTACAATTTTTTACATTCTGTAGAATGGTAGGAAACATGATTTGTTTCATACTCTGTCAACCCATTGAATCATTCAATAGAATGCCAAGTATCTCACTTTATTGATAATATGCATAAGTATTAGTCTTAGAGGTGCAGTAATGACTTAGATCAGCTTTCATTAAACAACTAATCTATCACTAGCTTGACCTCCTTGAGGATGTTGTAGCTTTGCTAAGTTCAGTTGGTTGATGTTGTTTTTTTGTTTGTTTTCACAGGTCAGCACCCACGCTAGAGAGAAGCTGACGGACACAGTTATCATGGAATATCTCTTAAAGATGATGTCACAGCACGGTCATCTGTGGGCTGAAACTGACCACCACAACAAATTTTTAGATGGTGTGCATGTTTTCTCATATGGGTAGCACATAAATAGGAGCGTACAGTACTATCTGGAGAAGTCAAAACACATTATAAATCACATTAGTTAATAATATAGGGTACCAGAGGTAGAAATAAACCCAAAGCTTATACGTTTTGTGATTATCCTTTCAGACCTCATGGTCAGTAGGGCAAATGAAGATAAGTTAATCTGTTTTTGTGATCATGGCATAGAAAGTGAAAATAGGGTCAATACTTCCTTCTCTAACATGAGTCAGGTAATCATCAGAGCTGGGTGGATTCAGAGACTATTAAGTCTCAAGTCTGTTGATCCGAACTTGAGACCCTCTGGTTAGCAATCAAGCGCTCTACTGTCCAGCAATTTTTTGGGATATTTTTTTATTATGCTCTTCTAAAATGTTACGCAATTTTTTGGGATTGTTTTTATTATGCTCTGTAAAATTGTTCCACAATTATTTGGGATAGTTTTTAATATGCTTTTAATTGCTCCACATAGAATGGGTCAGCACCATTTAACTTTTTTGTGATAGTTTTCAATAAAATTTACTAAATTGTTCCATAGATATGATCTTCAACACCAGCCTAGCACAGATTTTCAATGTCCACAAACAAAGGGAAAAAACTCTGCAGTGCAAGCCTTTACAGAAACTTCATGAAAAAGTGGTTTCTGATGTTGTGAGTAACACTTTTATCAAAAAGGTTAATAGTTATCAAATAAACATGTAGAAAGGTTGAATACAGGCATTATTACTATAATAGCAAGGTTGACGAAGAGTATTATTTCAATGTAGAGGGCAGATGAAGCTCCAAATAGAAATTTTCATTGTGCAATTTTTCTCAATCAGTCTTACTAATGTTTTTGCTACCAGTAATAGTTTAACGTCATGGCATGAAGGAAAGGATGAAATGGAGAAATAGAAACAATTTTTTTTTAAAAGCAAAGCATTAATAGGCCTTTTAGACGAATATTCCTGGGGTCCCACTAGGATTTTTGCCGGTCTGTTCAGTCCAGCCCTGACTGGAGACAGCAACCCATCTAAGAGAGAGAACTCCAAAATCAAACAACTTCTACCTTGCAGATTGTCCTGGCGTGGACAAAGACTTTGGAAGCAGCAAGCTATTTGGCGCCTAACATGTTGACACATATAACTTTGTTGAATGAAATTCCCTTCAATATTATAATGAATGGTCACTCCTGTTAAGAAGTAGCAGAGTGATCAGTGTTGTATCTAATTTCTATTTTCCTGCAAAACAATACATTAATAAATATTGCATTTAAATTCCATCATCCAAACAGGCATTAGATGTTTTCCTCCAACACTTGACTCTTGCTCTCGATGAGGACCTGGCAGATGTAGATGAATATGAAAGAGGAGTTACAGATAGCACTAGTCACCCATTTCCTTTATCTGTCAGGTACTAGGAGAATATTTCTCGTTACATTATTTTTATATTCATCAAAGAAATAATTACATTTAAATACATTTTTTAAAATGTTATGCTTCTAAAACTGCTTGTTTATCTAGCATACACATTTTTGTTACAGTTTTTTTAAAAGTATCTTTTAAAGGCAAAGCTTTATTGTTTATGTATTCCAGGTGACCTCATAAAAAGTGAAGCGAGCAAGCCAAATGAATACCTTTTGCTAAATACAGATTCCAACTTACTTTAATTTTTAAAAATGGCCTTAAATCACAATTGTGTAACTCAAAGAACACAGTTTTGCTTACAATATATGCACTTGTAATTATTTAAAATATAAAAATTGCTATTTGGATAATGTCTTATAACAAGTTTTAAATAAAACTTCAATGAAGTCTAGATATCTTATGCTTGTGTAAACACAAATTTGTTCTTTTAGTTAATCTATTTCTGCATGTAAATATATTACCTACTGACTTATTGTATATTTCTTTGCACAATAATTTAAATACTACTTTTTTGTATATTTAAAATAGAAATAAATTTAAATTTAAAACAAAATCAGTTCTTGTCATTTGCTTTTAATAAGCCTAAGATTGATGTTTCAAAATATATCGAATATCATACAAAAGTATTTAGTTGGGTTTCTTGAATATTACTTTTCAGTTGTAACCCTTATTTATTAATTATAGTTCAGAGTTATATTTAGTGTTCACCAAATGAGCTATACTTATAGGAAAATACCAAATAACATCACAGTGTGATAAAATAGTTGTTTTACTGATTTCCTCAAGAAATTAGTTTGTTTCTGCTTATTTCAGTTGAAACTCAATATATACACTAATTTTTTTGTTAACATATTAAAGAGGTTTAAAATTTTCTTAGGATATTTTGAAATTATGTAAAGTGATAATCATCATTATAATCATTTCTTTAAGGGATGGAGTGGTCTAGCGAGCTGGACTGCTAACCCGTAAGTCTTGAGTTCGAATCCGGGTTCAAGTCAGTAGACCGTCCCTGAGTCCACCCAACTCTGATGGGTACCTAACTGACGTTAGGGAAAGTAAATGCGGCTGGGCATAGTGCTGACCACACTATCTCTTCATATGCCGAGGTCACAGAAACAAGTGAACTCTACTTCACTTGCCCCTTAGACCGTCAGGTTTGAAAGGGAAACTTTACTTTACTTTATAATCATTTCTTTAGTTCTCAAGGGTTGTTTGTCACAATTGTGACCCATTTCTTATGCAGCGATTTCATTTAAAGTTTACAGATATATTCATGTCTGAAGACAACACATGAGTATCTAATTTTTAATCTATAATGATTTAACTTAGTAATTAAAAATGAGTAAATTTCCTAATGAAAGGGGAGATAACAAGATTAATCTCCCACTATTGACCACACACATACAGTGGCATAGTGAGGTCGGGTGCGGCACTTAATGGTGGACAAACTTTCAAATTTTCGATTTGCACCCCCCCCCTCAAATTTTCGATTTTCACCCCCCTCAAACTATCGATTTGCACCCCCCCTCTATATATTTTGCTATTTTTTGCCTTGGTGTCACCCCCCCTAAATGGTGTCACCCGGTGCGGTCTGCACCCCCGCTTCCCCCCCCCCTCCTCGCTTTGCCTCTGATCACATATATGCTTGGTTTTTTGGCTGAGAGCAACCACAGATATTTAGAAGAGGCAGATAAATGTCTTTTAGATATCGCAAAGTAGTGATTAGGTTTTAAAGGAAATAATTTCATTATATGTGGTGATGACTTCATTAAGAATCAATCACTAAAAGAGTAAATAATAAATAAAATAAATATTAAAAAAAACCTTTATAATAACAAACTTTCGAATGCATTGATAAACAAAACGATAATAAAACCAGATGATTTGATTAGTAAGAGCAATACAATCTCATGAAATCGCCTACACACACGGACTTGCATGGACAGACATACATACACACACATGATCACTGATAAGTCAAACTAGGCTAGTTTATAAATGCCAAAATAATTGAGAATTGTAACTGATTTAAAAAATCCAGTCATATGCAGTTATTTGAAATGGTTATTTATAAATGAATAACAAATACAAAATGCAGACTTATGTTTTAGTTTTTTCTTTTTTATAAAATTAATAAATGTCTCTTTCCTGTGTTTTAGTGAAGTTTTATTTTTCTCGTCAAATAGGGTGACCACTCTTTTCAACTTAGTTACATAAACAATCTTAAAGTCCAAGCCGTAGATCTTCGTAATCTTATCTCTTTGCATCTTAATGTTTCTAGTCGCATAAAATATGGAATTCGTATTCTGGACCTTATTGGATAATTGTTCTTTATGGATTGTATTGTTACCTTTGTTGATTATATTATTATACATGTAAGTAGTTCTAGTCTAGAGTCCAGAGTTACTAACTGTAACTACTACTAGATCTAGATCTAGTACTAACTACTAGACTACTAGGCCTAACTATTAACTAAAGTTAAACTAACAAGACTAAGACAAGACTCACTAAGGACTAAGACAAGAATACTACTAAGTAAGTAAGACTGACTAAGAGTATTAGACACTCAGTAGAGTCTAGAATCTAGCTTAGCTAGATCGATCTAGATCTAAAAAATATTTTTAAAATAACTAAAATTTATTGTCGATTTTAAATATTTTTTAGGCATAACTAGATCTAGGCCTAGACTAGATAATAGATATTAGATATTTTTATTTTAAGAATTTCTACTGAATCAGGCTACAATTACTGAATTTGGCCTAGATCAGATCTAGATGCTGCATTCATTTTCATTAAATTATCATAATATTTATTAAGCCTATAAAATAGTTCCATCAATTTCGTTGACCGTTGAATACAAGATGGCAGATAGAGCCTACGCTAAGCCGCTAAGGACCTCAAATGCCAAATGAAGTTGAGTTTAGTTGAGTTTACCACTTTGACTTTGGCATATATGACTGTTAATGTATGACAGGATAATGATTAATGATATTGATAGTTATAAGTTATAGGATAATACAAATTATACAAAAATAGTTAGGTACCTAGCAGAGCTAGATAGTAGATGGGCTCATGGACATCCTATTGACTCGAGCCTTGGATCTGAACATAAAACTTTTGGGTTAATAAGCATGCAAAAAAAAAACAACTTTAAGAAAACTAAATATTTCAGATAACCAGTAGGTCCTAACCAAGTATTTTTATTTCAGGTATGGAACTTCCACATTTCATATTTGGAAAGAAAGAAACATTGAAGGACCCCCGCCAGTTCCATTTTTCGGTAACATTTTTTCAATGTTTGACACTAAAGTTGGAACACAGAACACCATACAGATCTGGGAGAAAAAATATGGGAAAATTTTTGGGATTTATAAATTCCGAGACCCACTTCTAGTCATCACAGACACAGCAGCTCTTAAACAGGTGTTTGTTAAAGATTTCAACAACTTTGCTGATCGCTACTTTTTTGGTGATGGATATCTACAGCAGCCAGCACTGAAAAAAGGAGTTTTCTTTGAAGATGGAGCGAATTGGAAGCGCATCAGAAGAATTATGTCCCCAACATTTAGCGGCGCCAAACTCAAGCAACTCACCCATTATATTAATTTAACAGCGGGACACCTGGGCCAGAATTTGAAATCCTGTGCTTTGAATGGCAAGCAGCCAGAGGCAAAGCAAGTTTTTGGAGCTTATGCTCTGGATGTTATCTGCGGGGTTGCGTTTGGACTGGATACCAATTCACAAGAACACTTTGATCAACCATTTATCGTCAATGCTAAAAATTTAATGACATTTAAAAAAACCTTGCAGCTGATAATTATAACCATAGGTCTTTTTCCATTTCTTGGACACATTTTTAAATTTTTCGGAGTGGGTTATTTCCCTGGAAGAGAGATAAGATTTTTTGAAAAAAATGTTTCTAGGCTGATAAAAGAAAGGAAAGACCAGCCTGATGGCAAACATGTGGATTTCCTACAGCTGTTGATTAATGCAGAGGCAGAGGAGGGTGAAGTTATCGGAGCGAAACATCTGTCTTCAGATGAAATAGTTGGACAGTGTATTGTATTTATTATTGCTGGTTATGAAACAACATCAACCACCCTCCAGTTTTTGGCCTATGAGTTGTCAAAAAATCACGAAGTCCAGAATAAAATTGTGCAAGAGATTAAAACTGTTCTTGGCAAGGATGAGCCAAATTATGAAAACTGTCACGGATTGAAGTATATGGAAGCTGCTATTAACGAGACACTGCGGTTGTACCCTCCAGTGCACCTCCTGTCGAGGAAGTGTGAGAACCCTATTGAGCTGAACGGCATACCCATACCAGGTAAATGCAGCATCCTTATCCCCCTGGGAGTTATAAGCAGGAACCCAGAGTCATTCCCTGAGCCTGATGTCTTCAAACCTGAAAGATTTCTAGAAGGTTCCACGGAAGCAGAGAATCCGTTAACATTTATACCCTTCGGGTTCGGTCCTCGACAGTGCCTGGGGATTAGACTAGCCATGCTGGAGCTAAAAATAGCATTGGTTAACATTCTAAGGCATGTTAAGTTAGTCAGTGTCACCCCTGAGGTACTGGAGTTGGAGGATTACACAGGGACTTTGGTACCTAAGGAACCAATCAGATTTAAGTTACAGCCAGTTTCTGAAGAAGAGAATATTTAGTTATTTTCTTTGTTACTTCTCTTATACAGAATCTCAATGTCAACATGATATTACAAAGTACAAACTGAGTAATTTTAGACTACATATAAACGCTGTATTGGTTTGGCTTGAAATGTATTTTTATTCTTTTTAAATCTTTTTAAAACTAAAGGTCCAGATGGACACTTTGTTTTTTGGTCTTGGGCATGTGTTCCATACACAGACACTTCTATTCTCAACCTACGTCAGGTACCTGACATTACTATTTGAAAACTTTAACTTTAACTCAGTATTTTATATATATCTATTGTCATTTTTAGTTTTAGACAATGAAATATTAAAGTTCTGTTATATAAATTAAGCAATGGTATATTGTTGAGAATATTTTTGAAATTGTGATGGATGTTTGTTCAATTTTAATTTCTCCTTTCTTATAAATATGATTTTACAAAAAAAAATGCTCTGCCCTGTGTATATTAATTATACTTTTTGATACTTTTTATATTCTCCAATGTTTTTGTAGTTTTACAGAACAAAACAAAAACATTTATTCACATAACCTACTGTAACATAGAATGCACGAGAATTTTACATTGATAAGTATGAGTGCCTTAAGTTCTGGATCACAATTTACTTTATTTGCTAAGTTAAATTCTTAAACTTCAACTCGTGTCATATTATTATATACTTATGATCTACCTACTGATCTTTTTATATTGTATTTAACATTACATTGTTATTTTTATATTTCCCGTTGTAAAAAAAAAATCTCATTCAAATTATAACTACTTTATTTACTCTTATCATTTTTTAATTCACAAGAAAATGGCTCTACTTACTAACTACTTGACAAACTGTAACATTGAAGAGATTTGAATGCACTATAATTTTTATTTTATGTTAACAAGTATGATTGTCATAAGGCATGAATATCAGTACTTATAATTTACTGATATAGCTGGTGTTGTAACAAGCATTCTTTGCTATTTTTCTTTTTAGACCTATATTCATGATAAAGTAGTATTTTTTTCATTAAATTTTTTTGTTAAATTTGAGAAGGGGCATTCGCAAATCATTTCACACCCATAGGGGGAGGATGGGGTTCTACTTTTGTAACCAGGAGTAAAAGGAAGGGATTTAGAAAGTGTGACTTCACCACCAGTATTGTGCATTTTTTAAATAATTGCTCATCTAACTTTTTTTGTAATTTTTCAAATTTTATTAGAATTTCTGTAAATTATAATAGAAATTAATAAATCTACCTAATATTATTAACTCAATGATTAGAAATAAATCACTATTTCTAACAAAAATTAAATATTTAGGTGTGGTGGGGAGACAGGTGAGGTAAAATTGTAGCATTTCTCAATGAATTTTTGTTCTGTTATACAAACTAATGAGTTGTCAGATGATTATGATTCAGTTTACCTTCAATGCTGGTGCATTGCTAAAACAATAAAACTCAATATCTGTAACTAGTATTGCTCACACTGATTGTTTTGTATTAAAAAAATCTATTTGAGAGAAAAATTTAAGCTAGTTATATTCTTTACTCATCATGCCAAGAAAATAATAGCTGCAGAATCTCTCAAAAAGTAACAATTGTAAGTGAAATATACATTATATATATTTAAATACTATCATATATGAGATATATTGATTTAGCTCAGACAAGAGAATTAATCATGGATCATTTGTGCTTGTTTACCATTAATTATCAATGTTTTAAAATACAAATTACATCTTGCTCTTTAATAATAATACTATATCAAAAGAATGTGCTTGTTTTTCATTCCAGTATATTTTTATATTTCTGTAGCAGGTTGTACACAATGGAGTGACACACATGATAGTAAGCTGATGAACTTAAGTATCAACATTAATATAAAAAAAAAAGATCATTTAAAAATAAATTATAAATTAGAACTGTTTATTACATTTGCAATAAAAACATGCTACTCATAAAAATAAATAAAATATATATTGGTTATGTAGCTATTTGTCAAACAACATTGAATAGTGGCACATTTTAAAACAACAATGACAGTTGTTTTTAATAATATAAATAGTAGTGGGAAATGAGATATTGGACACAGTGCTAGATTAAAACTGATCACTATACAAGCCTAATCATAAGAGTTATAACTCTACAGTGTCTAATGCATTTCTCATCCTTCTTAAAAGTTATATCTCATAAAAATTATAGCCATAAATGTCAGTTTTATTTTTAAAAAAAAAAGGTAAATGGGATTTTAAAAAACATTACATATCACAGTAAATTTTCAGTTTATGGAAACAGTAATTTTTTAACTTTACCATATTTTAATCATGGTTTGTAGAATTATCTCCCTTGCTGTGCTCTGTATCAACAGTATAGTCAGAAAGAGAAACTTCAACTAGATCTGAGGCTGTCATTGAACTCAGATAGCTTCCCTCCCCTTCTCTATTGGTCACCTCCCCTTCCCTGCTAGTTGCCTCCCCTTCTTTACTCAAATCTCCAAAAACAGCTTGAGATCTCTGCTGAAGGTCAAACAGGATGAGATCCGCATTGTATATTTTAGCCTTCTGCACCACTTTGGATATTATGTCTGCACCCTGGTTTACACTGGGCTGTCCTGACTCTGCTTCATGACTCCCATGTTGGCGTGACTCTGCGTCATGACTCCCGTGTTGGCTTAAGTCTGCGTCATGACTCCTGTGTTGGCTTAAGTCTGCGTCATGACTCTCATGTTGGCTTGAATCTACTTCATCACTTTCATCTTGGCTCAAGTCTGCTTCATGTTGGCTCGACTCTGCTTCATGATCCGCATTTTGTTGGCTCGACTCTGCTTCATGACTACCATGTTGGCTCGATTCTGCCTCATGATCCGCATTTTGTTGGCTCAGCTCTGCCTCATGATCAGCATTTTGCTGCCTCATATACTCACTAAACCCGGTGAGGTCAAAGCTTGAGAATGTGACAGCTGATCCCTCGCTTGCATCTTGCTGACCCTGGTTGTCTTTCTTCAGTGGAGTCAAATCCACCAATGGTGGCATTTCTATGGAAAATAAATCTTCATCTGCTTGATCCTCAACAGGTGAGGCAGATGCCCGGGAGTTGAAATCTAACGTTCTTTTTGCGCTTAGGAATTTCAGCTTTCCTTCACTTGATTCAGGGTTTGCCAGATTTTCAAGGGATTTCAGTCCAAACCTGGTGCGACTAGTGGGATCAGGCAAGATGAGATCTGGTTTTTGGAAGGTGTAGAGGTCAGGGTTGATGTCATAGGTTGTTTTGGTGGGTTGTGTTGAGGAGGAGGTGGGTGCAGCGACCCGATGGGGCGGCTGGGCTGACATGGGCGTGTCAACTTCTATAATGGTGCTCAGCTCGTGGGCTTGATGACCTGTGTAAGGGGAGGGTGGGGATGCGGTGGTGTTGATGTAGGATGGTGTGGGGTTATAAGATGGCGTTGCTGTGACGTCTTCAATGGTTTTGAAACCGAACATTTCCGGCAAGGTTGCCTGGGACCACGGCAGGTCGAGTTTAGGTTTTGTCGGGTCAAGGTAAGGGGCAGAGGTTAACTGTGATGCCCAGGTTTGGGAGCTCGTGCTGTTGGGTGCAGAGCTCAGCAAGGACCCCCAGGGTTGGGAGGCGGCAGGCTGGGGCTTGGGTGCGGCACTCAGCACGGCGGCCCAAGTGTGGGAATTCTGGTCACCTGTGTCCGTGAGTGCTGGCTGGAAGGGCTTGAAGGCAGAAATGGGTAGGTTTCTGTAGTCGGCAGATTTTATTTTGTGGAAGGAGATATCAGCCAGGTAGGAGTCATTAGACAGGTTGCCAGGTGTGCCGAGACTGCGCCTGCCACTTATGCTCTCACTGTCACGGCTATCATTCATTCCGGACCTTGGGCTGGTAACGAAATTGTTGCCTGATAAAATTTGAGTAACCTCCCTTGTTTTCTCTGTTGAGCCGAGCTTGTCCCAGGTTCCTGTTTCATATACAGGCATACTATGTCCAGGGATGTTAGATCCAGGTTGGGCGTTGGCCGCGACTAGTTTTGACCTCAGTGATATCTTTTGCTGCTCTAATAACCTTTGACCCTCGTTGAACTTTTTCAGCATGGCGTCTTTATGATTCTGGATCTCCAGCAACTGGGTCTGAAGCTGGGTGTGCCTCTCCTGGAACCCGGTCCTGCTTTGCTCAGCCTGGGTCACCAAGTTGGCGGAGAAGCTGTCCAGACCAGAATGTGACAGCATTGGACTTCCTCTGTCCTCTTCGCTGGAGATTATTCTAGAATCCTGGGAAGCAGGCGTAGCTTCCAAAGAATCTTTCCACGAAATCTGACTAATATTTAGGGAGTCGTTCCCATCTTGAAAAGACAAAGACTTCCTAATCTTCTCCATCTTTTTTCTTGAGTCAACTTCAGCATTCTCTTTTGGGCTAACTTTATCTTGTAACACTTCTTTATCAGGTTTTTGAAAATATTTTGGAATCTCTTGATAATTAGACATACCAGCATTATTCATCACTGTAGAGTAGTCTCCCCCTAATTTCACTGGATCTGCAATAAAAGGTCTGATAGGTTCCCATTTTGTATTTTCCGTTTGCTTATGAACCTCATCTCCAGAATCTTTAACCAATGACCCACTAACCCCAGGACCAGCCTGACCGCTAACACTTTGCGATGTTAATCCCAGATCCTGCCGCCTTCTGTCTATATCAGCTCTGACGTCGTCCAAAAGTTTCTTCCTCTCCTCATGGGTTTGCAGCAGTTTGCTCTGGTACTCTTTGACTTTCCTCAGGGTAGAGTCGTCCAGCATGGACTGGCGCTGCACGGTTTTCATCTGGTACTCCCTCATCCTGTGGTCCAGCTCTTCCTGTTGACCCCTCCATACAGAGGCTAGAGAGGAGGGGGGCATACTCACTTCCTGTTGTCTGCTAGTCCCTAATACCATTTCCTGTTGCCTGTTAATTCCTAATACCACTTCCTGTTGCCTATTGATTCCTATTGCAACTTCCTGTTGCCTGTCAATTCCTGAAATTTCCTGTTGTCTGTAAGTTCCCAGTGCTAATTCCTGTTGTCTTTTAGTCCCTAGTGTCACTTCTGGTAGTGCGTGTGTTCCAACGGTCCCTTCTGGTAGTGTGCTTGCGCCGAAAGTCATCTGTCTGTTTGTTCCAAATTTCACTACTGGTCGGTAAGCACTTAATGTCAAATGACTTCCTGTGTCGAATGTCACCTGACTGTTGGCTCCAAATGT